AGGCGGATATCATGGGAGACTGTGTCGAAAGCCTTGCTGAAGTCAAGGTAGATAACATCCACAGCTCTCCCTTCGTCTACCCAGCCAGTCATGTCATCGTAGAAAGCTGTTAGATTGGTCAGGCATGATTTCCCCTTGGTGAATCCATGCTGACTACTCCTGATAACCTTCTTTTCTTCCACTTGCTTGATGATGGCCTCCAGGATAAGCTGCTCCATCACCTTTCCCGGGACGGAGGTGAGGCTTAGTGGCCTGTAGTTCCCTGGGTCCTCCTTCTTGCCCTTTTTGAAGATTGGAGTGACATTGGCCTTTCTCCAGTCCTCGGGCACCTCTCCTGTCCTCCAGGACCTCTCAAAGATGATGGAGAGTGGCTCAGCAATGACATCCGCCAGCTCCCTCAGCACTCGTGGGTGCATTCCATCGGGGCCCATGGATTTGTGGACATCCAGATCGCTTAAGCGATCCCTCACACAGTCCTCCTCGACCAAGGGAAAGTCGTTCTCTTTGTAGGCTTCATCTCTTACCTCCGGGGCCTGGGATTCCTGAGGGCCAGTCTTAGCACTGAAGACTGAAGCAAAGGTGGCATTCATTAGCTCTGCCTTCTCTGTATCCTCCGTCACCAGGACACCCTCCTCATTCAGCAGCGGCCCCACGTTGTCCCTAGCCTTCCTTTTGCTGCTGATGTAGTTGAAGAAGCCCTTCTTGTTGTTTTTGACATCCCTTGCCAGCTTCAATTCCAGGTGAGCCTTGGCCTTCCTCGTCGCATCCCTGCATGCTCTCACTACGTTTCTGTACTCTTCCCAAGTGGCCTACCCCTCTTTCCACATTCCATGTAAAATAATATGAATTATTTTACAAAGCATGTGAGTACATACAGTTTTAGTGGGTTGATTTATAATGGCTCTTTATTTGTAAAGGAAGAGGTTGACCAGAATGCGATATGGGATGGCCTTGGTTTTCTGCAGTGTTTCTTTCGAGGCAAACAGCTTTGGCTGTGGGTGGATGCCATCTGTGGGAAGAAGTGCACTGAAGTGGCGAACAGTGGGTGCCTGACACTGGGTACCAGCGCTTGCACGGCTGCTGTGCTGGCAGGCTACTGGGCGGGAAGTGTGCTGTGGTTTACAGAGGAACTTTCCTAGATTCCTCTCAGCTGTGGCATTAATATGCATGCAAAGTCTGACAAAATACTGATTAATGTCCAGTATCAGTCAGTGATAAAACAGCATCTGTTTTAATGTTAATAAATGAGGTGGCAAGCAATTTCCGTATAGAAATTACTCATGCATTTCATTTGCCAGTGACACAAGCTAATTGCAGAGTTAGAAGATAGCACAGTACAGTTAATTTGGGTTATGGTGTAGTTACTCAAGCCAGAGTTCAAATCCAGACCTTACTAGTGTGCAATCTAGGGGAATCCAGAACTCCCACAAAAGGAGAAGGGCTTTGGACAGAACGTCCTAGGTACCTAACTGCCTTTCAGAGTTCCTGAATCCAAAACACAACATAGGGAATTCAGCCTCAAAGCCTCAGTCAGGTGCAGAGCAGTCTTGGAGAGCTCTAAAGCCACCAGCATTTTCATTTTTGTATTGAATTCACCTCCAGTTCATTCAGCAGACTTGCATACAAGCCTTGACAGCACCCATCGGGGACGCCTGAACCCAAGAGGGTGCCTGGACCGCGCCGCTCCTCTGCCTCTCTCACGCCAGGCCCTGTGCAGATGTTTCGGGACCATTTCTGATGGGACATTGCACAAAACATAGTGACCCATTACAGCCTGGAGCTAAGGGCACCTACTTTGGATGCTCTGCTGTTAGCTGCAGAGCCTTTGATGTGATGTGGAATCCCTGTCTTCAAAAGGGAAATCCATTGCTAAAATATCCACTGGTAGAATGCCGATAGCAGAAGAGATACAGCACTTACTGGGAGGTGCAGGCTTCAAAATGTTGCTTCAGAGAGGTAACAGCAGAGTGTAACCCTAGGTAAACACTAAGTGAGCAGGGTAAGGGAGAAGAAAGAGGACCACTTTCAAGTCTTCTCTCCTGCCTCTCTCTGTCTGATCCACATACCCCCTGTACCTGTATACTTTCAGTTTTGCGTGGAGAAAAAAAGATGACCAGTGTTCCTATAGATGAGAAATCTGATTCAAGTTATCCCTATCATCCACTGCTAATTTCAGCGTACAGCAAAGGAACAGGGAAGAGACACACAGCGATTAATTTCCTGCTTTTTGCTCTTCTAGTTCATGTTCTGCAAACCCAGCTCAGGCCTTCATAAAATCAGGGGTGGAGCAGGGCAGCGGAGGGAGGATCCCAACCAAATCTGCTCAGAGGTGTCGGGGCCAGCAGCCTTGCAGGCTCCCTGTGCAGTGCTGGGCCTTCCATAACTCTGCTGGAAATACGATTTCAACTTTACTAATCCTAACTTTAAAGCAGTAAATTTCCACCAGGCAATACAGGTTCACCGTCAAGAACACAGGAGTAAAATCCAGCTTTGGTGCAGAAAGGAAGAGCAGTCTAAAGGAGAGATGGAGGCCTATTTGTTCAGTAGTTCTTAAGAAAAAATGGATCGCATTAAAATGTATCCTGTTAAGATTTAGCGTAATCATACAAATGATTCATTTAAGAGATTATAATAAGATACATTATAATGTATCAAACAAGTATGTGAAAAATTAATTAAAGATTGAGATCTAATAGTTGTAGCTAAAAAAAGGTATTAAATTTCTATATGAAGGGTATTTTTTACATTACAAATATGTTTTCTGTAGGTGAGGTATTGAAGGATTTCTTTTCACTCTCTTAAGTATTCTGGTGAGAATATATACAGTAAATTTAGAATCCATCTTATTCCAGAAATGTAATTTTATTGTTATTCTGGTCTTGTAAGATTGATCACTGTGTTGTGCTACCAGGAAGCTAGATTGATTGAATTAAAATGTTAATCTAAGGTACAAATGGAAAGCAGCAGCAATGTCATACATTACTGCTGCGTATACAATATGGATAACGGTAAAATAAGAAAAATCAGAGAATTGCATAGGTGACAGAATTACACAGTAGAAATAATGACCAGGACAGAATGCTGACAGATTGTAGATGCATTCAATTGAAAGTGAGTTTACATGTTAGCTCTTCAAAATGAAAATAATCAACTGTAATAGAGCTGAGAGCCCTCAGTCTGCATGAGATTTCTTCCGTACTACAGGGTCCTGTTAGCTCAGGCTTTAACATGCAGCGGTTCCAAGGCTTCGCTAAATGGTAACATTTGGATTCACTTTGCTGCTGCTACAGAACAGTTTGTTGGTGGCAACTGTGGTGAGCGGTACAATGGGGATATTTTGTCTGGGACAGATCGCTCTGAATTTATGACAGAGGCAGTTGTATGAGTTCTCGTCAGCCCCAAATGCCTGTGCCCACAGCAAAAACATAACGGGTACAGTTTAACGTAAAGAATAAAACAAAAGGAGAATGAATCACTGGCTTATTGTAAGTGTAATACAAATGTGTCTTTTACAGAATGTAACATCAAAACACTGAGGGTAGAACTGCTAAAATGAACTTTATCCTAAGTCTAGTGGGTCTTTGGCGTACCCTGTGTGTCACCACCTGACTACTGCATCTCCTGCTGGTTGATGAGATGGGCTCACAAGGTCAGAGGGTTCCTATGGGTGAACGGTTTTAATTTTTAGCTTAGACACATGAAAATTGCTATTGTAAAATCTAAAAGAACTCATTCATGCATCGGATGTTTGATTGCAAACCCAGCAACAGCAGACCGTACCACTGACCTGGCGTGCAGAGAGGCTCATTGAAGTGGTGCCCTCAGAGCCTCGTGCACCACGCTGGGAACGTTCAGCTGAGCTGATGTGACACAGATAACCACCTCCCCTCTATCTGCCCCTTCCCTTTCTTCCCCCAGTTCAGTAAATACCTCTGCAAGGCTTTTTACAAATCACAATCTAGACATAAATCTCTTTTAAGCAGTTTGCTTCAAATTTCAGAGCAGTAACACAGCCCTGCAGCACTCTCCCTTGTTTATGAGCTACTGCCGTCCTTTATTTAACTGGGAGGAGGGGATTAAAGGAGAGCAATAGAAAGAGCAAAGAAAACACCTTTGCCCCATGCTGATGTATTAAACATGCAAGAAAAATACAGCTACCTAGAAATTTGGTTTAACTGGGAGAAAAAGTGGATTTGAGCCTGTCAGCTCATTAAAGATAGCATCTTTTCGATCAGTGAAAAAGAACATCTCAGGCTTCCATCTATTTTCTTTCTTCCACAGGGATCCTAATCATCTTTCAGTACCTTATCATTATTATGAACCTTTGGGACCTGATGAATGCACAATGTACATTTCACACGAGCGGGGACGAAAGGGCAGTCATCATCGCTTCATCACAGAGAAACGAGTGTTTGAGAACTGGGCACGGACATTCAATATTCACTTTTTCCAACCAGACTGGAAACCAGAACCACTCACTGTGAATCACCCCGAGATTAAACCGGTGGTCTGAGGGGTGAATGCGCAAGACCGCAGTGGCAGTCACCCGCTGTGTCGGCCTTCGGGGTGTTGGACCTTCTGGGAGAGCAAGGCGACCTAGAGGAGCAAGGTGCCAGGATTTGCAGCTGATAACTGCAACGACCGTCAGGAAGTTACAACGAAGGAGCAGAGCACATCGAGAGTACTTTCTGTTGAACTGTGTATTAATCCAGTGTGTAGCCTTCTTTGGCCATCTGACTTCCTGTATGTGTATGTGATTTGTGACAAACAACTCGAGTATCATTAACGGGATGGTTAATTCATTATGGTTTTTTAAAGTACAATGCCACTGAATTTTCATATGAAAACTTACAGCATTTGTTTAATGGAGGTTTTTATGCAACCTAGGCCAGTATTTTTCTAATTCACAGTTATGTGGTTGTTTATCTTTCATAATCTTTCAAATCCAAAATTAATATTGCCGATGGTTTGAAAGGCCTAGATTCTTATTTATAAAATTTGTTTCAAAAATATGATTCTATATAGCATGTAATTAATATTTGATCTGGAAATGTTGCATTTCTTTTAAAAATGTTGGGCTCAGTTCCAGCCTAAGCCTTTAACAGCAAGAATGGTCCCATGTGCAGATCTAGCTAACTTTACATTCTGACATCTCATGTTAATATGAAAATGGTGGTGAAAATTCTGTTTGATATTAATGTGCATTTGCTGCTGTGCTATCAAGCTGCTGTTTTTTAATTAGGGGTGGGAGGAAGGAGGGCAAAGTTTATCAAAACAAAAAAAAAAATCACTGTTTATAGCAGCACACTTTCAATGAAGAGGAGACCAGCGAAGGCTTGGGGGGGTGGTTGTGTTCTGTTTCGCCTCGTAGTCCTGCAAGAGGCTGAAGGAGCAGCTCTCCTGAGGCAACAGGCTACGAACCAGGCAACAGCATGACCAAATTTCTGAAATCAAGAAGTTACACAACCAGGTACTATAATACCAGCCATACTAGCCAAAAAGCTTACAGCACTGCACCTGCAAAAATCTCTGCCTTCCACCGTTCCCGGATCACCGCTGATCTCGGAGATCCTGCATCGCACTGAAGTGAGGATGTGAAAAGAGTTCCACGCGTACAAAACTGTTCCCTTGAAAAGAGCAAAGTTACACTTGGCAGTTTTTTGTGAAGCACACGTGCATGGCGAGTCCCCGCAAACCAAGGGGATGGACAATGCTAGTGCTGTATATGGAGCCGCACAGTGTGAATTACTGGGTTACATTTGGCTTGCGAATAAAGAAGATTTCAGTTACAGTATTATTTTTCCTTTTGCCTCACAAAAATGAAATCGCTAATTTCTTCGAAGTAATCAGTAGGAGTAATTACTGCATGAAACATTATACCTCAGGTGACGAAAGGTGTCTCTCATTAGGCAAGTACTAAAGCTAGAACAAAGATATTTCCTTAAAACATCTAAATCCAAAAAGCTGAACCTCAGAGGCAATACGTAGAACTGGGACCAACCTCACTGTCATTTAAACCCACTTATAACTCATGGTCTTCCTCTTCCCCAACTGGAGAGCAATAGCTGCAGCTGCCCTGCAGATACCCCGGTCTCTGGGGACAAAGTCATCTGCCCCGCCGGGGCAAAACAGCGTCAGCCCTGTAACACGGCGCAGACCCAAACAGCAGGCCTCCAGGAGCCCCCCTCCTTGCTGCAGCCCTCCCCACTGTCAAAGAGCAAGAAACTATGACCTGGTTTGCCTTAAAAGTTTTCTTTTGGTGGTCTTCCTGGTACACACCGCTTGGCATACAAACTGAATGCCAAGCGCTGCTATTGCCAGTTGCTGGTAACCCGTCTCTTGTCAGCTGGTGTTTAACTTTCCCTCTTTCACTGATGGTGTTTCATTCCTTCCACTTGATTTCACAACATTCTGCAAAAAACAGAATGGATTTTGAACTAATGGTAATTTGAACATCCCCTTCAGTGTGGGTACTGGGGCGTGTATCCAGCACACATTGCTCAAATTCATGAACTCTGTCAAGTTGATTTACGGATCGTTTCTAATGTGACTGCAAGAGATGGTACAGATCACAGTAGGTCCTCTGATGCCACCCTCCTTTTGTTATTTTAGTAGTGATACACTAATAAAAAGATCTTGTCATTCTAAAATAGAGCTCTTAATTTTTCCATTAATCAAGGACTGCAGGATGTGTGTCCTAAGTGTTTAGTTGTGTTACTGTAAAAACAGATCATTTAAAAATGGATTACACAGATCTACTTTCAGTATTCAGTAGGAGCATGGGGACTTACCAGACTCCGTTGCGCTCCACACGCTTGTTTCCTGTCTGCAAGAGCAGTCAATACCAAGTGGATCAGATGAAGCGTTAAGGAGGTGAAGAAGAAACATGGGATAAACTGACATTAGATCTCCTGACTCCTAACAGAGTGAGGCTGAGGATTGTAAATATTCCTGTTTCAGTTTCTGTTAATAACAACTGTGTGTTCTTGTTACCCTTCTACACATCCAGTCTTATAAACAAAATAAACCCAAAACTCACTTCAGTCTCCTCAACTTCCTGGGAAGTTTCAGCAAGTTCCCCCACCTAATTACAAAAAGTATGACAGTATTTTCTAAGAGTAAGTCACACCTGTATATACAAAACTCACCGCAAAAGGAATTTGTTGAAGCCAAGGAGACGGCAAGTTTTAAATAGGATTGATCACATAGATTTATATTCCACATAAATCCAGTCCAAAAAGCCTAAGTTATAAGAGTGCAAAAAATGCAAATAATTTTTAAAGTGCTGTGATTTTAATTTACAAATTACTATGTATTTTTCTACAAAAGCACAATTTTTGAACTACAGCATATCCTGGTACATTTCAGCCTGAAGTGAGGTTTTATGGCCTAGTTATAAAGCAAACAGATTTATGATAGAAAATGCCGTCAGACCAGAGATAAGTAGTAGGAAGTAGGCACTGCTGCCATTCTCTGGTTTATGCTGTCATCCTGCACTCCTCACTATGATTTGATCGATTCATGATCTTCAGCGCGCATCATTTCACATACTAAGAACTGTTGCAAAACAGTGTTTACAGACATCAGCAGTTTTAAGATCTATGTTACTTCAGTTCTGAACTCCTTGCATACCTTATGCTTTTATGCTTGGCTTCATCAGGGTAGCTGTTTTTCACCTTGAGAACCATAGCTCTTACGCCGTGATATGTGCAACTGGAGTTGAGAATGATAAAATATCTCTGCAACCAAGAACAGGAAAATAAAACCATTGGTTTTTGTTGCTTTGGCACACAGGTTGCAAGACACCCAGCTAACGGCACAACAGAAAGCAAAACCACGATGCCCTTTGAGAATACCTTCGAGTTAAAGCACCTCAGGAAGACACGCTAATACTGTTTGTTCCTGGGCAAGGAACCTGAGGAAAGGGGAGGTTAAGAAACTACTGAGACCAAGTTACAGCGTTAGAACTAGATTTTGGAGATGCAGGTCTGCTGACAGCTACTCCTGGCTCTGGCCAGTAGAACACACAACGGCAATTTCATATATTATATACACATACAGATGAACAGGAGTGTAAACTGATAAAATTCTGCAGGAGGTGCTCATCAGGGTATTGTACTGCAGTTACTTCTCAGGCAAACTTCATAGGAAACTAGGTGATTTTTACCCAAAATAGCTCTAAGGAGGCAAGAACACAATAATCTAAAAATCACTGGAAAGACAGTGGGGGATGGGGCAAGGGGAATCTAAAGGTAAGGAATAAAACGTTGTTGGTGCTATCCAGCTGTATTCCCCTGGGAGATGAAAATCAGAGTCAGGCTGGAGCGGACAGAGCGGAAGGTTGTGGCTCAGCAGCAATGGCTGACCTGCAGAAGCTTCTTTTCAATATTCTACAAATTGATTGTGTGTGCCACAAAAAATCGTTGAAAAATTCTGATAATCACCTCTGACTAACGAAAGTTAATTATTTTACTTGATGCAAGGAGATGCAATTTCTACTTCAATTTAAAACATAGCTTAGGGATAAAAAAACCATCAGAAACTGTTAAACGGTGAAAGAGTATTTGTAAGACAGCAAAATGTAGTGCAAAAGAGAAGAAAGTTACAGAAACCTTACCGGTATCAATACTGCACTTTTCCTGGTGCCTCAGTTAATACTGATCACTGACTTCCAGCTGCCTACCGCAAAAGCACACCTTACATATCACAAGTATAAGATTTTATATGGAGAAAGGAGAAAGGAGGAGAAAAGGAATTTTTAAAGACAATCTCCTTTAAAAAAAACCTAGGAAATATGAAAGGGCAAGAGTCTAACGTGATGAGAGATTTCTTTGTACTAAAGCAGAAAAGTATAAAACTCAAAGGATGTTTTACAAAATGGCTGTAAAATGGCTTTGCATATGTTCAATACTGTTAAAACCGCTAGATTAATAAATGTTTTCTACACTGAAAATTACAACAAAAGACGAAATGCCAACTGATAACCTTTGAGCACCATGTGGATGGAGCCTCAGTACGGCAGTGGAGACAAAGATGGTGACTGTCACCACGGCTGGCCAGAGAACCGGCTCCACGGCAGACGCAGATGTGCGGGAAGAGGCCGGGAAGCAGCATGTCCCTCCCTCCCGCGGCACCCTGCCGGGGTGCCAGCCAGCGCACACAGCTGGCAGGGGACATGCTCGCACTGCCAGCAGGAAAGGAGACGTTTCTTTGTGTTGTCTGTCGCTGAACACCAGACCAAGCCAGAGAAACCACTCAGCAGATGAGCAACATACGGTGTCCGTGTCCACGGTGGGGTGCTTCGACCGGGAGTTGTCAGGAAGACAGAAAAGTCAGGAAACTACAGACGAGCAACCCCAGCAACCCAGACAAACGGATGGAAAACGGCAACAAAGAACAGAATTAGCAGTCATAAAGCAGATACATTGGCTAAGATGTAATGCAGCTTTTGTAAGAAAAATCATGCCTTGCAGATCCATTTAGAGTTCTTCAAAGTTCTCTGAAGCAAGTGGA